CCTCTACCTCTACCTCTACCTCTGGCTCTACCTCTACCTCTGCCTCTGCCTCTACCTCTACCTCTGGCTCTGATTCTGACCTAACTCCAACTCTGACTCTGTCTCTGGCTCTGACTCCAACTTGGCTTAAGTTGCATTGAGTGATGACAGCTGCTTTAAGCCGTTTAGTCACTTTTAGCCACAGCCTCCGCAGACCCCGAGGCAGGAGATTTGGTAACCGCATTGAAAATCGATAACAAGCTGACAAGCAGCTAAAAGGCAGTCCTTGCGATGGGAGTAAGTAAGCTGAAAGCGGCTAAAAGAAACGCCAGCCCTTAGCTAAGCGACGACCTCCTCTAAATATTCTTCCCCCTCCCCGTACACTTCCCCACGACACATAACTTTCCAGTGCGCTAAAACTAAACCAAAAAAAAAAAAAACAAAAAAAATAAATAAATAAATAMAAAATGACGAACAGAATGCCAAAAAAAGAGAACTGTTAGACGTGAGGGCACGACCAGTCGCATACCCTCTACGCTTCAGTGTAGTGACGGATTGGCTGCTGAATGATGGCACAAATTGATTTGGGCTACGCAAGAGCTATTTATAGAGCATCTATAGAGAACCTTTTCTAATGTGCCCTTGTTAACTATAAAATGTATACAAAGTATCGCTCGGACTAACCAACTCCTCCTAGCGCTATTAGCCCCAATGACATTGGCAAAACGCGCAGACTACCGCAGAGTGAGAGAGAGGGAGAGGAGGACCGAGAGAGAGAGAGGGGCTTAGGGTGCTTGAGCTGTTATAAGTTGTAGCGCGGTTTATTGTGCGACGTCGCCGCCGTCGTCGTCTTCGTGGCTGTGCCCAATTGCTTTTGCTTCAACGGTCGGGAAGGAGGCAAAAACAACAGCAACAACAAGAACAGCAATAACAACAATTTCATTGACCTCATAAATTGTGCTGGTCCAAAGGCCCAAAGAACTCGGCAGCCAAGGCGAAGCGAACGCCGAATCGCCGCCAAAATGGCACCCACAATGCTTGCGTCCTTTTAACGCAACAAACGACACGCCCCCCGCCCTCACTGTGGCCCCTCACGTAGCGCTAACCAAAAAAAGAAAGAGAAACAATAAGAAACAAACGGCGGAATATTAATAGCTGTTCGGGTTTTGTTATTGTTGTTGGGTTTTTTTTTTAGGTTTTTTTTTTTTTT